CGAGGGAACCTTAAATTCTAGGCATGTTGTACCACAAGATAATTAGTGTGCGGACCATTTTCATTTATATAGTGCTCTGTGAACACAAATTAGTTAGCATAAATCACTTAAATGACGAAAAATTAGGTGTCTAGTAGTATAGATATTATTAAGGTCACATAGCCTACGATCTCCTTTGTTTACGAAGTCATAAACTTAAAATTCAGATCAACTGGCCATGCCCACCTGTCATATCCTCTCTTATAACAATACTTTGAAATTATAAAGTGTGTATATCTGTACAAAATTTGCTAGTCTTTCAACAAACATTGTGTCTTTCACAAACAAAAATTAATATCTTTGTGAAGCATTTTAAATAAACTAAAAAAAAAAAGATTTATCCATGAATATATTGAGTATTTGTTTTGAATTGTCTGTGTGCAACATGATTTTCATGTTAAGATTAAAATACTTTTATTCATCTCAACAATCTCATATTTGATTTGTGTAATCTGTTAAACCTCCTGAATAAATTTCAGTTTTTTTTTTTCAGTAAAAGTGTATATTTTATTTGTTATTTTCTCTACCCTAACTCAATACAATGTTAATCAATTTGACCGATCTCATAACCACCAAAATAAAAATTGAAATAAATCTAAATTACCCTTTTTTTCTTTCTAGAATTGTAACATGAAACTACATTTGTTTATCCTAAGTAGCTTTATACTCATAACAGTATACATCTATTTATAATTAAATTTTATTGTTTTATTATCCTTTTAACTGTGTCTTACTACTATTTCCATCATTATAAGTTGTAAATTACTCAGCTCACATTACACTATCAAATTAAATTACCCACTATCTACTACAAGCTGCTCACGTGCGTGCCTCGTGAAACATTTTTATTATATTATTATTCATTTCACCTAACTAACCTAACTTTTACATTTTAGTTACTTTTATAATAAAAAACAAGGAATAAAGTACTTACCCAAATCTTCTTTCTTCTTGCTGTTGATGACACTTAACCCTACTTTTTCTTATACTTATGATAGTAATGCAATAAATAATTTGTATTTAATTTAATAATACACTAGAAAACAGACTAATAACATGCAAAAAGTAGACAATTTCCCCTAATTCTCACAATTTTTCTGGCTTTCTAACTGTGCGACAAGAACCGTTACAAATTCATCCAAGCTAGTTGTTAACTTTCCCACAGGAACGATGTTTGTACTCTGATTGAAATTGACAATTCTCTGTTCAGAAAATAACATTATATAATACGTCATTTAGTAGATGAAAACCTTGGCTTTCTATTGGTTATAGATGATATAGAATTAAACATAAGAGAGAACTATTAACAAATCCTGATAGAGAGGATGTGACAGGTAGGTGTGGCAAGTGGGGTCTGATTTTCTATTTGATGGCTCTGTAAACAAACAAAATTGAAGGCTATAAAAATTATGATTTGCCTGAGCAATGATGATTTTATAGTGAGTAATGTACATTTAATTTCGTACTTATTGGAGGGATGGTGGATAAAATAGAGAAGAGAAGATACCTAGAGAAGGGAAATTCAGGATTTTTTAAAATAGTGCCTTATAAAATTAAGAACTTAAAACTTGTATACTATTAAAATATAGATTACTAGCTATGATTTTATGCTTTATGATTTAATTGCTATAACATAAACAAAAAGTAGATCAATAAAATTTTGAATGTAAGACACTAAAACCTCATGACATGAGCAGTAAAGGATGCTCGTCAATATAGGGCTAAATACCGTAAGCAACTGCTCTATAACTACATAAGCATAATATTTTTACATCACCAAAACTGGGGGTTCTACCAAACCCCCTCAAACTCCCCCTGCATAAGTGTGTGGTGTAGTGTCTAAGTGATTTGATTGGTTTATGGTGAGAGTTCGAAAACCAAGTGTTTGATGATACCATTTGTCACTTTTGTCATTGGTGACCTACTGAGCTGAAAGCGACTCAAATTTCACCCTAGAGTAAATAAAAGCAAAATTGGGATGAGAAGTTTAAAGCCGTTTTGCCCTGTTACATGACCCTAGTAAGTGTTATGGTATTCTAAAGTACATTTAAAATTTCAAACCACAGCTAAGTCACAAATTCAGAGACTTTGTATGAAGAAAATCCGATATGTCAGATTTGATCATAACTAAAGGAAGGATCAGAGACTTCAGAGATAATATTCAATTGTAAGCTCCATTACAGCTTAAAATGGCACATCATCTGACAAGTCCCAGCAGCAGACAAGGAAATAATGGTTTCCAGAATCTCCATATCATTTACGCACCAAACGGTCCTATAAACTAATAAACAACTTAACAAGTGTGATAGTGTCCTTCTACTAGTTCCCTGACCACATATGGCCATCAAAGAGCAAAATTAACACAGTTCAACGTTGGACAGATACTGTCTTGATCTCATAGCCAAGTATAGAAACCTTTTACACAATTTTGATAACTATATGGATAAAGATACTGGCAAACAGTTACTGATCATGCTTAAACCTGCAAACAGTTACTGATCATGCTCAAACCTGCAAACAGTTACTGATCATGCTCAAACCATCAGTAACTGTTTGCAGGTTTAAACATGATCAGTAAATGTTTGCCGGTTTAACCATGATCAGTAACTGTTTGCCAGTTTAACCATGATCAGTAACTGTTTGCCAGTTTAACCATGATCAGTAACTGTTTGCCGGTTTGAGCATGATCAGTAACTGTTTGCCATGATCAGTAACTGTTTGCCAGTTTAAGCATGATCAGTAACTGTTTGCCAGTTTAAGCATGATCAGTAACTGTTTGCCAGTTTAAGCATGGCTTAAACTGGCAAACAGTTACTGAGCATGCTTAAACTGGCAAACAGTTACTGAGCATGCTTAAACTGGCAAACAGTTACTGAGCATGCTTAAACTGGCAAACAGTTACTGATCATGCTTAAATTGGCAAACAGTTACTGATCATGCTAAACATTACTGTTGAGAGAACTTGAAACCTTAAAATAAGTACATGTATATATGAAGAAAGAGTACTGTAACCCTTAAAAAAGAACTCACACTTAACTCCCACACATGCTGTAAAAACACAAAATATAATCATTCACACGTAAATAAAATAAAATGTTTAAACTGTAGTTGAGCAATATCTACAAGATATAACTGAAACCAAACCTTTAATACTTAAATAGCGTAATAAACAATACCTAAACCTTAGTTTATGAAATATAGAGAAAACAAAACTGAAACCAGCACTTCATCAATTATACACTGTAATAAATACACAAGATATTCTCGGTTTTATTGGTTGTGCTCTGTTTAAACTCACCGTACAAGACAAAACTGAAACCTAACCTGTTTCATAATCCTTAGATGGCGTGGCTGGTGTGGTTGGATATGATTCGCTCTTGTGACGAAAAGATGAAGTATGCATAAAACTTCGCTGGAACTGAGGTGGGTCACGCTGAAAGTTTTCCATCAGTTCAATAACTTCTTTTTCTACACGACCACTGAGAAAAGAACCACAGATTATTCACTGATACAACATTTCTGACATTAGTTAGATATTTCTAGTTTCTTTGCTACATCGTACAATCAATAAGAATTGTGCTGAAGCAAAAATTCATTTGTTCATGGGATATTTGCAATAAGTCAGTAATTTTATACAGTACCAAATATTTATCATTAAATTCCAGGAGATAAACTTTATATCCACTATTAGGGAACAATAAGTTTATCAGGACCACTTCCTTCAAAACTTATATCTATGTAAACTTGTTTCCTTATAATAGACATAAACTTTATTTTACCTGTTAATTCGATAAGACAACTTTCACATCTAAGACAAAGTCTGGCAGCAGAATACAGATGCAGAAGAAATACAATATGGTGGTACACTGCTTTAGTTTTGTACAAACACAAATATAACATAGAACCGAGACACAAAACGCCAGTGATGAATATGATATGGCTGATGATAAGTTATTTTTCTTGATGTACTAAGTCTTATTTTTCTATAATATACGGAAGATTTAGAAAAATCAGTGACTAATGAAATACGACTCATTACAAGCTATTTTTCTTGACATATCAAAAGAAGGTGTTTCTCTATGAAGTAGAAAAGATGTACAAAAACAATATGACTCACAAGATATGTTTTGTGATGTACCAAGAGAAACCTTGTTTTTTCTATGATATAGAGAAGAAATGCAAAAATGAGTGAAAAACAACATATTACCCATTTCATTACTGGAGCCAAGATGTCTTCATTTGATATAAAAATATTCACAAAGCTAAAACTTTTCTGTTACTTGCTACATCGCTACATGAACTTCAGTCCTCGTTTCCTCTTGTTTAATACATTATTCTAAATGCTGACTCCTATTAAAAATCGTTACATAAACTTCAGTCCTCGTTTATTCTTGTTTAATACATTATTCTAAATGCTGACTGCTATTAAACATCGTTACATGAACTTCAGTCCTCGTTTACTCTTGTTTAATACATTATTCTAAATGCTGACTCCTATTAAACATCGTTACATGAACTTCAGTCCTCGTTTACTCTTGTTTAATACATTATTCTAAATGCTGACTCCTATTAAACATCGTTACATGAACTTCAGTCCTCGTTTACTCTTGTTTAATACATTATTCTAAATGCTGACTCCTATTAAACATCGTACATGAACTTCAGTCCTCGTTTACTCTTGTTTAATACATTTTAAATGCTGACTCCTATTAAACATCGTTACATGAACTTCAGTCCTCGTTTATCTTGTTTAATACATTATTCTAAATGCTGACTCCTATTAAACATCGTTACATGAACTTCAGTCCACATGCTGACCCAGATTGCATACCTACATTTAAACTTTACCCTTCTTACATTTCTGTTTGAGTATTGAGCCTCTCATACCTATCTATTTGACCTTCATTTGTTAAGCTTTACTCTGTTAGTTATCTGACTCAATTAATGATCCCTAATATGTTTTATCTTGTACTGCATGTCTGTACCTAAATTCTGACCTTATTACAATCCTGTATCTAAAACAATACAAACAGACTGTTGTTACACACCTGCACCTGAAACAATACAAATGTTAATTATCACTACACATCTTTACCTAAAACATAATTAACAATGACAGTTGTTACACATTAAAACATTACAAACACCAACTGCTGTTACACACATGAACCTAAAACATTACAAACATTGACTGTCGTTATACACCTGTACCTGAAACATTACTAATGTCGGCTGTCTTTACACACCTGTACTTAAAACAATACAAACACCAACTGTCTTTACACACCTCTATCTAAAACATTACAAACATCAACTGTCTTTACACACCTGTACTTAAAACATTACAAACACCAACTGTCTTTACACACCTCTATCTAAAACATTACAAACATCGGCTGTTATACACCTGTACCTGAAACATTACTAATATCGGCTGTCTTTACACACCTGTACTTAAAACAATACAAACATCGGCTGTCTTTATACACCTGTACTTAAAACATTACAAACATCAACTGTCTTTACACACCTCTATCTAAAACATCACAAACATCAACTGTCTTTATACACCTCTATCTAAAACATTACAAACATCGGCTGTTGTTAAACACCTGTACCTGAAACATTACTAACATCGGCTGTCTTTACACACCTGTACTTAAAACAATACAAACACCAACTGTCTCTATACACCTGTACTTAAAACATTACAAACACCAACTGTCTTTATACACCTGTACTTAAAACATTACAAACATCAACTGTCTTTACACACCTCTATCTAAAACATTACAAACATCGGCTGTTGTTATACACCTGTACCTGAAACATTACTAACATTGGCTGTCTTTACACACCTGTACTTAAAACAATACAAACATTGGCTCTTTACACATCTGTACCTGAAAAATTACTAACATCAACTGCTGTTACACACACCTATATCTGAACTTTGAACCTCGAGAAAACAGACCTCCTCCAGTAGTGACTGATGGGACCTCAGCTGACGACTCAGCCCTGTTTTATAACAAAAAACAAAATATTTTACTTGCCAAACATACATTTTTTCAGCAAAACAAAACATAACATTACACATGAAACATGAATAGGTTACACAATAATATTAAGGAAGTTGACAGCATTTGATTCTATAAGTAAGGATTCTTTTTTAAAAACAGAAAATTAAACCTAAGTTAAAAAGACTGCAACTGATCCAAACCAAAGTTATATTAAGTAAACACAGAAAAGAATTAGACTTCTTATATGCTGACCTTATTTTAAGTTGAAATACATGTACTAAGACTAGGTTTTTGGTGTAACAATTCTCCATGTGCTGAGTCATATACTCCTGATTTTATATGAAATGTCTTTGAATCTTGACACTAAATAAAACGTCCTTTTACAAATAACACAATTCACTCAAAGTATATTGTTAATATTATTCACATTAGCCAAAATGAAGTAGGAACTGCTTACTTACGCAAAAAAGTATCGCTGCTCTAAAGCACATTTCCACAAGTGTTTACAGGCTGCTTGAGTTGGACATTTGAATCCGATCAGATGTTTCCTCTGTCAGTATTTCAATAGCAGAAGTCATACATCAATAACTTACACTAACAACAAGTCAGTATTTCAACAGCAGAGGTCATACATCAATAACTTACACTAAAACAAATCAGTATTTCAATAGCAGAAATCATACATCAATAACTTACACTAACAACAAGTCAGTATTTCAATAGCAGAGGTCATACATCAATAACTTACACTAACAACAAATCAGTATTTCATGAACTGAAACAAGACAATCGTGTTATTATATCAGCTATAATTTTAATAGAAATACGTCATGATTTGTGTGAATGACCACAAGGTCAGCCCTGTGAACCAACCCCCGTAGTAGACATGTAATGTTGACTATAATTCTGAATTTATGAAGCTCATCTTTATTCAACACTAGAACTTTGTTGTGCATCAGAGAAGTAACTAAATTTTTTCTACTAAAGATACGTCAGTGTGATTCTGACAAGTCAGTGTGTAAGGAGAAATTCATGTGAAGAATAACATTACATTTGTCCATCATACAGTTTGCAAGTTGAATTTACATAACCTCTAGAACCTTCTACATGAATATTACAGTATTGTTACAGTATTGTTTCCTGTATTCTGGTATTTGTTGTATTTACATAACCTCTAGAACCTTCTACATGAATACCCTACAGTATTTTTTCCTCTATTCTGGTATTTTACGTACTATTGCAAAATCAGTAATGCAGGGTAACTCTAACTCTAATTAAGTATGGCACACTGTCCAATGTCAGAGCATGCACAGTTTGACCCCCCTCTTGTGCCCACAAGGTTAAAGAAGTGTATTATCTTACTGGACTTTTAGAGTAGAAACTTAATGAAATTTCACAAAGTTAATACCACCTCCTCAGTGACCTAATTTGGGTTTTTAGTCAAAAAGAGAAAAACAGGTACATGTTTATTTGTTTGAGGTCAAAATCTAAAACACTTTATTGCTAAAAATGACAGTTCCAGATGCAAACTGTAAGAATAGTATTTCTAAATAATCACATGTTAACACTGTGAGAAGTAAAATTAAACCTCACCATAAAAACTATATAATGTCATGACCAATGGTCAGTTGCTACATGCAATAAAACAATAACACAAGTGTTAAAGACTGAATAAAACCTTTTTTTTTATGAGATGCTAAACAGATGATGGTGCTTAAATAAAACCAAAAGCTTACCTTAGTCCTACCATCCTGTAGAGTGAGGCATTGTTGGGGGGGGGGGGGGGGAGAAATTGTTATTAATGACGAGTAACATATAAAAAAAATTTGAAATACAAAACATTCTGTACAGAAAACTAGAACCTTATATAGCAGAGAACATTTGATTTATCAGCAATAAAAGTACAGCTAAACTCTAACAAAAACACACCGCTGTTTATCAGAGTAACCTATTTATGTTATTATTATAATTTCTTGTTTCAATCTTCTAAACACAATAAACATTGTATACAACTTAAATAAGAAAGATGGACCTAACAAGTAAGAACATTGTATACAACTTAGAATAAGAAAGATGGACCTGACAAGTACAGAAACATTGTATACAACTTAGAATAAGAAAGATGGACCTACCAAGTTCAGAAACATTGTATACAACTTAGAATAAGAAAGATGGACCTAACAAGTTCAGAAACATTGTATACAACTTAGAATAAGAAAGATGGACCTAAAAAAGTCCAGACAATCAGTATACAACTTAGAATAAGATTTACACAGTACAGATACTTGTGTACATGAGTACATACAGGAAAGACAAACACGTATGTATATCAAAATAAACTGTATGCTATATGTCTGTCTGTGTGCACATGTATGTGCAAATGATTGTATCTTAGGATTGTGGTTACCAAAACCGATGACTTACTTCACTGATGAGAAGATGGATGATGAACATTTTTCCTTCAAAGTTGATTCTCTGAATATCCAGCCTGAAAAACAAAAAGATTTTAACAAAAAAAATGTGTCACTTTTTAATCTGGATTGCATAATTAAATACAGAAACTATTTTAACACTCCTACACATATACATGTATAATTACAACTCGTCAACAAAAATTTAGAATTATTCTAATCAAACATCCTTTCCCTACCATTTGAAGTGATGCGTTTTCCGACTACCAAGGAAAGTTAAGATTCCAGCGTGGTTTATTCCCAGGTATAGCTGGTTACCCTTATGGTCCTGTAAGAAACATCAGAAAAGTAACTTGTATGATCCTGTGAAACAACAGGATATATCTACTGATGCCGTAACAACGGGATATATCTACTGATATTCTTATTATGCAATCATTCACATTACGAGCAACATCTTAACTGTTATATCACAAAACCTTTTTTCAACTTAATATTAACATAACACACAAAATAAACTACACCTATTGTAGAACATAACACACAAATAAACTACAACTATGTAAAATATAACACACAAAATAAACTATAAGTACAGTAGAATATAACACACAAAATAAACTAAATCTATGTAGTACATAACACACAAAATAAACTATAAGTACAGTAGAATATAACACACAAAATAAACTACATCTATGTAGTACATAACACAAAATAAACTATAAGTACAGTAGAACAAACCACAAAATAAACTACAACTATGTAGTACATAACACACAAAATAAACTATAAGTACAGTATAATATAACACACAAAATAAACTACATCTATGTAGTACATAACACACAAAATAAACTATAAGTACAGTAGAATATAACACACAAAATAAACAACAACTACTGTAGAACAAACTACAAAATAAACTGTAGTTCTAATGGAACATACGTACTACACAACATAAATTGTAGCTCTAAAGGAACATATGTACTACACAACATAAACTGTAGTTCTAGAGGAACATATGTACTACACAACATAAACTGTAGTTCTAGTGGAACATATGTACTACACAACATAAACTGTAGCTCTAGAGGAACATATGTACTACACAACATAAACTGTAGTTCTAATGGAACATATGTACTACACAACATAAACTGTAGTTCTAATGGAACATATGTACTACACAACATAAACTGTAGTTCTAATGGAACATACGTACTACACAAAATAAACTGTAGCTCTAGAGGAACATATGTACTACACAACATAAACTGTAGTTCTAGTGGAACATATGTACTACACAACATAAACTGTAGTTCTAATGGAACATACGTACTACACAACATAAATTGTAGCTCTAAAGGGACATATGTACTACACAACATAAACTGTAGTTCTAGTGGAGCATATGTACTACACAACATAAATTGTAGCTCTAAAGGAACATATGTAGTACACAACATAAACTGTAGTTCTAATGGAACATATGTACTACACAACATAAACTGTAGCTCTAGAGGAACATATGTACTACACAACATAAACTGTAGTTCTAATGGAACATATGTACTACACAACATAAACTGTAGTTCTAGTGGAACATATGTACTACACAACATAAACTGTAGTTCTAATGGAACATACGTACTACACAACAGAAATTGTAGCTCTAAAGGAACATATGTACTACACAACATAAACTGTAGTTCTAGTGGAGCATATGTACTACACAACATAAATTGTAGCTAAAGGAACATATGTAGTACACAACATAAACTGTAGTTCTAATGGAACATACGTACTACACAAAATAAACTGTAGCTCTAGAGGAACATATGTACTACACAACATAAACTGTAGTTCTAGTGGAACATATGTACTACACAACATAAACTGTAGTTCTAGTGGAACACGTTTTACACAAAATAAATACTTTTTACAGCTGGTCAGTGGTGTTAGCCTGATGAAAGGTGGTACTTTTTACAGCTGGTCAGTGGTGTTAGTCTGATGAAAGGTGGTACTTTCTGATGTAACAAGTTTTGTTATTTGTTGTCAGCTATTAGAACTTCAAATAACAGAAGTTTAAGAAAAAACCATGTGATAGACAGTCTAACACATGCACATGAAAGTACTAAACCAGTGATAGACATTTATCACTACCAAATAAACACGTTTTCATGATAAGAATTTAACCTGATTTTTACACTACCACAAAACTAACAACAGCTACAATAAATTATTTATCTATCAATAAAGAAGTACCTTGACAGGGTGAGGATCAACTCCATATGTATCCAGAAGACACGCCTTATGTAAAAAGTTAACCTCAGCCACAGCTGGAACCTGGCCGCTAAACATATAACATTAAGTAGTTAACTACAATGTAGACACTTCTTTAAAAACCTTTTACTTTTAAAGTCACCATAACCTGACCGCTAAACAGTTAACATTAAGTAGTTAACTACAGCATAGAGTCAATAAACAGCTAAAGAACAACATTTTCACACTCAACGTTATTAACTTATGTTTACCATGATCTAGGTCACAGATCTCCTGGTCAACAGTGCTGTTACACTTGATGGTATTGTTATCATCAGTAAATGCTAATATGTTGTCTCTTTTTACCATGTTTACTAACATCCAGGCCTCAAACATTACGTCTAACTTATCTCCTGGTCAACAGTTCTGTTACACTTGATGGTATTGTTATCATCAGTAAATGCTAATATGTTGTCTCTTTTTACCGTGTTTACTAACATCCAAGCCTCAAACATGACATTAGACGTACATACGATTTTAACTAACATTATTATTCCTGTAGTTAGCACACTAAAAACTCAGAGATCATGTGATGTTTAATAATCCTTGTTCTTTACTTCCAGTAAAACCCTAGGATGAAATACTGATATATTAGTATATCAGTACTTTGAGAAAAAATTAGTACAGATTATTAATAATTAGATTTTCACTGCTTTTAGGCTTAGCATTACTAAAAAGCCAAAACATAACTATAATTAACCTCAAATGAGTCTGATGTATTTCTGCTATTTTTTCTTCGAGACGTGGTGTTTGTTTCAGGAGAAGTTTGAAATCTGCAACATAATTGCCAGTATGCTCATCTGGATCATAGTCTCCTAACTCGGCTAGTAATAAAGAAACAAAAATTCAAATTGATTTGCTCATTTAAGTGATAGTTTACTAACTCAGCAGTGACGATTAAAAAAATAAGTTAGGGTCACTAGCTTTGACACTGATAAAAGATCAAGAGCAT